TAGATTTAGCACATTTACGATTCTATAATAACGGGAATCACCCAATGATTTCGCAACAAAATTTTTGGCAAAAGATTGTGAATCAAGGTTCTTTCGACCTTCACGAAAAGAGTTTCGTACTAAACTGGACAGTACAATAAATCTGGCAACAAATGCGGCAACGGTGCCAGCAGACGTACATTAGCTTGCTTGTCAAGTCACAGCTTGTGCCGTGCCATCCTCTAATCTCGGAACAAGATAGTAGGGTTTGTAGCTCTAGTATTCGAATTGTTTCGCTTCAGGTACCGCATTGTTGATTGTGTTGATTGACACAGGTTTCAAGCATACACGCACAAGCAAAGGAACAAAATTAGGTCGATCCGTTCCCCGGCTCTCTACATAAACCACCATGTTTGAACGGTATATAACGGACGTGCTAACAAGCAAATTCGGCCACATCTTGGAGAATGTGGACTCCGACAAGATGCGACTATCGGCATGGAACGGAGAATTAACCCTGGAAGACGTTGCCATCAAAACTACCGCTCTCGATACTATTTTGGGGAGTCCTGAAAAGTCACCCGTCGAAATCGCGTACGGCCACATTGGTGCATTTCGGGTGCAGATACCGTGGAGTTTGGTGAGTGGCTTGATTAGTGGAAGGAGCGGCGCCGAAGAAGACAATGCGGACGCGACAAATGCTTCTTCCGCAATTTCGGTCGTGTTGACCGACGTCAACATTTTGATAACGCCACGGCGGAAAGTCGTCGTTGTGAAGAACAGCGATGGCGACGAATGTACCGAGCAAGGGGAAGACGTTGCCCAGAAAAGCACCGACGAGGATCCAGATTCTACCTCGAGGCTATCGCTGGTCGCCCTTCGAGCCAAAAAAGAACGAAGAGTGCAGGATCGGTTGGACGCCAATTTGTTGAAACGCGTCACGGAATCGTCGTTTTTGGCTACCGAAGATCAAGAAAACGAATCAACTTCGTTGGCGTCCTGGGCACGAGAAAAACTGGCGGAGGTGCTTTCCGATCTATCGATTACCGTAAAAAACATACACATTCGATACGAAGATCCTGGGACGTCTATGGGTTTCGAGTGGAGAGTGTTCCAGCCTGGAGGTGATACCAAGAGTGCCCAGGAACAAGTAGACATCAATTTCAACATAGCTCATAGGTACAACAATTTGGGTATGGATTTAGATGGAACAGGTTACAGTCTGTTGAGCAGGCGAAAGTCGATTGAGAACACCGGTAGTGGCCGTGGAAACGTGCAACAACAACGCTTTCGACCAGCCTTTTCCGTAGGAATAACACTAAAAGAATTCTCAGTGCAATCAATAGCCACACCGAAGAATCGCCACGAGGTGCCCGAGGGCAGAAATAATGCGAGCACAAATAATGATGGCGGAACGGCAGATGACACAACAACTTCGAATCTATCGGCAACCACTGGAACATCTACAACCGCTTGTGTTACTGATACTTCAAAAGAAAACTTCACAATACGGCGTCAGCGCAAACGGGCCGCCGCAAAAGACCTAGCTGTATATTGGGACAGCAACTCTTCACTCATGGGCCTGAAAGCGATCCGAAAGTTCCACTTACACCAGGAGCCGGACCATTCACAAGAATCTGAGAAGCTTCATCAGAAGCCGCAGCAGGTCAAAAAGGAATTGTTCGATTTTTATCAAAATTGTTTTGAACTTCTCAACCGAGGCCCATCGCCTTCGCGGCTAGCATTATCGAATCTCATTTCAACCAAGATGATTCGTACGAAACATTCCTATGTATTGGATCCCGTGTCGCCGTCCGTGGACTTGATGCTGATTTCGAAGCTCCCTCAAAAGGTATCGACGAAAAGTACAGAACCACAAGACATAGAAAACTTGAGCACAAGGTGCGAGAGTGATGACGAGCTATCCGAGGCCCCACTTTCATTCGAACGAAAAGATAGACATTCTTCGTACTCGGCGAACACCAGTACTTCGACAACTTCTCAATACACTATACCTCCATCTTCAGTCCGCATCGAGTTGCCTCCTTGTACATTTACTTTGTCGAGAAGCACCTTGGAAGATACGGGTTACTTGAGAAAATCGTTATCCGTCTGGACCGATACGCGGAAAACAATTGTATCAGAATCAGCGTTGCGACGTATAATAAAATTACGACCATTGGAATCAGCAATGCAAAACCCCGTTGGTTGGTGGAAATATGCATTCGAAGCAACGAAAGTGATGATGCAAGCATCTTTCTTGTCAGACGTAGAGGAAGGATTTGAGGGCTTCGACCAGGAATTCGGAGAACCAATGAAAGACAGCACAAACAATCAACTTGGACATAAACAGCAATTGCAKCGAAGAATGACGCCTTTGACGCGTCGAAAAGGTTGGATTGGATTGGTCGAAGCTGTATCACGACGGCGGGAGTACTTTAAACTGTACAAAGTTTTGCTAGAATCACCAGTATCATTGAGTGTCGACGATAACGTGGACAATAAGAAATATAATGTCCGACAGAATGAAGCTCACGAACGCTTGTTGCAAATGGAAGATGGACTCTTAGCTGGAGAAGTGGTCGCATTTCGTTTGTACACTTACGAAGCTATGAAGGAAGAAGAAGCCAAAGACCACTCACTCACGATACCAGAGAAATCTTCGTCGAGTAATGTAGCTGGAGTTCAAAACAAAGAACAAACTCCGGTTAGCTGGGCAGCATGGATCAGAGGGGAAGATACTGTAAATGATAATAACACCACTCGGTTGTCGTCGACAGAGACGGAGAATTCAAAGAAAGAAAATAAACTTGCAATTATGAAAGGGGAAACAGACGATGAAATTATTTCTATTGAACATCGACGATGGATGATGAATGAAATGAAACAAGCATTAGACAGAGAGCGGGAAAACATGGAAACTCAAAATAATGAAAAGGGGTTGAACCAAAAAACAGCATTGCACCGTTTGAAAAATGTCGTGTTGACGGGTGATATGCCAATGGAGCAATCGAATCCTATTGTTTGGACTGCTTCCATGCATTGTCGCAAGATCGCTATTCAAATCAATGATCAGCAAGCAGGTGCCGAAAGTTATCGACAATACCGGAATTACATGCCACTGATACAAATGTCCAGTGCATTGGTACAAGATCAGTCTTGGTACAATGATGGCTCTTGGAAAGTCAATATTTCTTTAGCTTCAATGGAAGTCAAAGACCTTGTTTCAGGGAGAGGAAAGGGTTCTAATTCCCGACGTGCATCGACATTGTTGGGTAGCAAGTCGAAGAAATCTGCAAATGAGGATGATGAATATTTGCTTTTAAATGGAATCCGATATCACCGAAATATGTCTGTGATGATCAACAGGAAATTGCATTGGAGTGTATCAAATGGGTGGATGCAAAAAGAATCTAACGCTGATAGAGGATCTACTACTACAGTGCAGATTCGAGTATTGCCTATGGAGATTGTTTATTCTGCCTTGCCCATCGAAGCAGTTAAGCGGGTCTTTTTGACTGCCAAGACGCCAGAAATTGTAGACGATTACCAGAAAGTATTAGGCGTCGCAAAGGCTTGGAGAAACAAACAGAAAGAAAAACTTTTGGACACTCTTGCTCATAAGAATAAGCGGATTGTCGTTGACATTGATATAGCAGCGCCAGAGTTGCTAGTACCCGAAGATACATATAGTCCATACAGCCGAATGCTTGCCGTCAATCTCGGTCGATTTCAAGCTTACAATGACGAAAAGATCTTTGACAGCAAGCATTCTCAGGAATTTGATGATCAATGGAGGGTATCGCTAAGCAACATCCAGGTGAGGCATACAAGTATGGCATCATACCAATCAAATGCAATATCTGCACCTTCGAACGAGCAACTAGTAGAAGCATTCTCCATCGATTTTGTGTTATCAACGAGGTTTGTCAACGGCAACAATAAAGACGACAACAAAGAATCTCGAATAAATGTTTCTGCAACATTGCCAAGACTTGCATTCAATATTTCATCATCCACAATCCGATTAATATCAAGACTAAAAGAAAATTTCTCCAAGCGAGACAGAAAGATGGAAGAAGAAGCCGAACTCGTCTACGATGTTTATGGTGGGCTTAATCACTTTCCTGATCCTAGAAATACAAAGATAGAGCAGTCAAGACAAGATATGCCCTCGAAAACTGCCCAGGATAAGAGCATGTTCTCGAGTGGTGGTACATCACGAATATTCAAGTTTAATTTTTCGGCGCCTGCTATTACCTTGAGGCTTGAAAATGATGTAGATGGTAGGAATAGCCGGACTGGGAATACTTGGCAGTCAACCCCGATCATAGATCTTGCGTTGAGGAGTATCCGCGGTAGTTTTTCACAAGAGCTGACGAGTAATGGAGATTCGATCACAAAGTTTGATGCCTCCTTGCAATCTCTTGGAGTTATTGACCTTTACCAAAGTGCTGGTAAGGATTTTGTTTTATTGATGTCTTCCATTCCCCAAAATCAGTTATCTGATAAGATAAATTCAAGCACGGGGTATTCTTGGGACGTCCTTCATTCAACTAATGGTGATGAAGTTCCTGAAATCAGGAAAGATCTAGTTACGGTTGAATATTCCAGTACTATCCTCAATACAACTGATTGCGATGAAGACGAGAAATCTTGCAACGATCCTGATAAAATTTCTATTTGGTTTCATGAGCTATACATTGAATGGAATCCTGAAACATTGGCTGCAATTCACGCGGCGATGAGGACGACATCAATTGACGAAAATGACAAGGAGGTTTCTGACCCGGGTATTGCAGTTGCGCTATTTCCGGCCGACGATGAATCAAGTGCAGATGAGTTTTTTGACGCTTTAGAAGAAGAATTTGATGACTCATTAGACAGCGGGAGCCCCCGGGACCTATCAGAGATATCTACTTCAACCGATAGCCTAGCAGCATTGGGAAAGTCATGGAGTGACCCTTCTACTTATTATGGGGTTGGTTCCCCAATAATATCGTCCCCTTTGTCTCAGGCTGTTGGTAGTAGATTCTTTGGTCAACGGGTTTCACTTTCCCCTGGATCAGGATCTCTAGGGATGGGACACTTTCAAAGTGCGCGAAGTGAGTTCTTCGACGCACTAGCAGTATCAAGAAGCAACAGTGGTTCCGATAACAACAAGAAAGAAAGGCCAAGACAAAGAGAATTAGTCTTCAAGCTCTCAAAACTTCGAGTTAGCTTCAATAGAGAGACAAGACATCGCAAAGTAATCGTTGCACAAATGGATAGAACATTTGTCTCGTATGAAACAAGGTACACGGGTGGATCTAGAATAAAAATGAATCTCGGTAACTTAGTCTTCGTCGACCCGGCCCATAAGGAGAATAAGACGCTTTACGGACAAATTCTAGGACTCCAAACAAAATCTGAGGATGTCGACGAGCACAGTTTTTCGTCACTTCTCGAAATGGAAGTTTTGATGAACCCAAAAGTAAGAACATTTTCATCGACATTACATGGCACCAGGTCAGATACGGTTGCAATCGATAAGGAAGGAGGGAAGATGACGGGAAGCAACTGCTGTGTAACTGCGAAGCTGAGTCCAATGAGGTTTGTTTTGATAGAACAACTCTGGATGGAAATAATGGATTATTTTTTTCAAGGAGTTATCGGAAATGAAGTGTTGGGCGGGGAAACAAAAGAATCTCCCGCCGAGAACCCTCTTGATCTTATCGGGCTAAGGCCAATGGATCCTGGCTTTGTCTTTGGAGCAGATGCAGAGGGGATCAGTTTTACTCGATTTGATGTATCATTGGATTCTCCCGTGATTCTTTTTCCTGTCACATATTCTTCTCCCGAGTACCTTCGTTTGAGACTTTCCAATATACGTCTTCGTAACGAATACAATGGGGATATCATTAATGATACATCCTTTGACATTGATCGCATGCAATGGTTCAATAACTGCAAAATATCACTGGATGATTTGCAGTTGTATAGCTGGTCAGGGCGCGAGCTAAGTCGGAATCCAGTTGTTGCATATGTCTCATTGCGATGGCCCACTGGCCCGTTGGCACCTTTAATTATACCGAAATGGAATGTCGATTGTCGTTTTGATAGCCTCGATATTTCTCTTTATCGATCGGACTACGCTCTCTTGCAGAATATTATCTCTTTTAATATCGGAGAGCCATCTAGACACATGGATGAATGGGAAGCACTTCAAAATCTCTCCCCGAATGCATTAGACAAGTTGATGAGAAATATCATTGTCCATTTTGGGTACGATCAGAAGAATGTCGCCCCGAGTACTTACGACGTAAAGCTTTCCATACCAGCGTTCAGTGCTGGCTTCTTGGAAAACGGCGAAGAGGCCTCGTTGCCATTGGCCGTTGCTCGATGCTTCGATTTTAAATTTCAAATGAGGAAAGAATCAGATTTGATCGTGGCTCAGAAAGTCACGTGTGAGATTGACTTTGTTCGACCGACAGGAGAGGAGGATGGCTTTGAAACATTGATGACAATATCGAGGGACAACAGTGATTTTGATGGAGAAAAAGATAACCAAAATCGTGCCCAATCCGACTTCATATACTCATCAACAAGTTTTCCAAATGGAGATAATGTGAAGACGATTGAGATTTTTGATCCGTGCATATATGTAATTGTTCCGGCTTGGACTCAATTTGCAGCCTTCTTCGAATGCATATCACCGCCTGTCTTTCTTAGCGAACAAGAGATCGGATCATCAATCCAAGTCGGCGATCGATGGTATCAAATCAGCGACAACGATAATATTGCATCTGTTAACGACATTTCGTCCGGAATCAATAACGTTGGGAAGAAAAAATTCAGCTGGATCACTTCAGAACCAACACCTGAGGCGTCTCGAAGATCTTTGGTAGCTCAAACCCCTCCAGTCCGTCAAATCAAGCTTCTCCTGACTTGGCCTCGGATAATCTTGTCTTCAGTAACAGCTGACGAACAACCGACTCGTGTTATTTTAAGAATGAATCATGCGGACTTCTTGCAAACGGTCGATGGACGGGAATTCAAGAAGATTAGATCTCTTTTTCTTCACGATGTAGAAGTGTACACGTCTTCCCAGAAGTCGTCAACGCACTCTACAACAAAGAAGGAGGAAAGCAATTCGCTCATTCGTCCTTGGAGTCTCTCTGCTATTACGACCACTTGCAATGGAGAAAGTATCGGAGACTGTCAAGAACACACTTACAAGTTAAGTTGTGATATTTTGCGTGCCCGCGCTGCGTATTCCGACATGTCGATTGCGACTGACGTTTTCTTGAGCGTCTTGCATTCGAAGAGAGAAACATCAAATAATCCAGCAGCAGATAAAATGCCGCAACAACAAATTATTTCCAGTGATTCTTTCGATTATAATCAATCCACTCGTATCGGATCAGACAATGCTGAGGACATCAACGGCAAAGATGAGAACAAGTATTGCAGGAAACCTACTTGTATATATGATATTCAGTGCGATGGTTTCGAACTGAAAATTGCAGATGATAGGTATGTTCAGGCTCACATTTCCATGAATATGAGATTCATCGTTCAAGTTGACTTAACCTAAGTCTTTCTCTCTCTCCCTTTCTTTTAATTGTTGCTAGTGGGCGTCACTTTTCTAGATACCAAGACCTAGTTATTTTATCTGTGGGGCAAACACTGTTCTCGCGACATGACTCCAAAAATCAGACGACCTCAATGAAACTCTGGTTAGATTGTCTTGATTTGTTTGATTGTTTACAGCCGGCCAATTCTACTTTTCGAACTGCGGCTTCAAGTTACTCAGAGGTCATGGGCATCAGAAATTCCATAGACGATGAGGGACACATGAGTGAACTCAACAACGTTCATAGAAGTATATCTAGAGTGATGCCATGGAAAGACTTCGGTACAAAATTTGATGGAAAACGATACTTTGAAGTATCTCAGACATTTCTGAACAGAATAGACGAAACCTCAAGACAGTGTTCTCACTATTTATGGGGAGAAGGTGGAGAAGGCCCTACGCCAGGCCTGATCGAAATTGCTTGCAAATTCAACGAGGACAGCTACCAAGAGTACGACGTTAGATTTCGCAAGTTTGCAGTTCAATGGAACCCGTCAACAATCATCGCTATGCAACGCTTCTTAGGGAGACTGAGAAAAGAGTCGAAAACAATTGCAGTCCAAGTTGTTCACAGCCAACTTGACAATACGATTGATAAATCCAACGTAGACCAAACCGAAGAATCTCAAGAAAAAGACATAGACGCTGATAATTCAGGAAAACATCCACTGATCAGGGCGAAAATACAGATTGACAGCTTGACAGTTTGCATGAATAAAGAACATCAACAAAGAAGACTTCTAGCGCTGACTTTGTCATCCTGTAATCTCTTCATGCACTCGTCTGAAGAAGGGATGACTGTAGAAGGGCAAATTGGCGACTTGTCTGCGTTTGATAATGATAAGTACAAAGTAGCTGACCTCGATGGAGATTTCATCACAGACAGAAATCGAAGCGTCCTTTCAGTATTGACCGATGATGGCGTTGAAAATACCGAGAACTTCCTCTACATTCACTACAAAACATTCACGAAGAAAGCAACATCTGCTTCAAAGGCTGATGTACCAAAATGGATCAAGTCCAACCTTCCATCGCCCGATGACATCGATGACTTTTTGAGTTTAAAGGTAGCAACCATCCGTTTCACGTACCTAAAGGAGCGCACCGACGAACTGTTGGACTACCTGTCAAACGGACTTCCAGGTAAAGGCATGGGTGCAACTTCAAGGGCAGCCAAGGGCTTTATAAGCAGGAGGATCCAGACGAGGAGTTTTCTTGAGCTCAGAGTAAATTCACCGCAAATATTTGTACCGCAACATGAAATGACAGAGCAAGGTCTCGGATTAAAGTTAGGTACGTTATTATGAATGGATAGATCGTTGATCCTAAATCCAAAGTGTCTCTCACACTTATTCCCCTTTTAAGGCGACGTAAATGTCCAGAGTTGGTTCGAAGAAGCATTATCTGGCAAGAAACATGTCGGAGATTCTGAGTGGTGGCGAGTCCTCTCTCTCAAGCTTTCTGGATTTTCTTACGGCATGATCCGAAAGGGATCAAGCTTTGACTCTTTATCGTCAGCAACATATCCAATCGACCTTGGCATTCTCTTGAGGAAACCAACAATCAAGGGTAGGACACTTTCGATTCGAGGCACGATGTCTTGCTTTGAAGCAGTATTACATTATGAGGACTATGTTCTACTACGTGCAGTTGCAAGAGACAACATCGGCCGTTATGTCAACACAGATAAATGGGACAACGTCGAAAAAGCCTATTGGATGGAAGAGGAGAAAAGCTCCGCAGAGAAGGACGTCGGAGAATCGGTCAGTCAGCACGGCGAGGTGTCAAACAAAGTCGCATATTCAGCCAATGCCCGTTTTGTGCGTTATGGAAAAGGCGGGAGAAAGGGATTAAAGCAAAAGTATCCAACAAACGATATATCAAGCCTTGATCAATCAGAAAATGTCTCTACAAATACGCTGGATGTGCGTTTCGATTTGGCTGGTGTGGCTTTAAAGTTGAGGCGAAACGACCTCCCGGAAGGAATTATTGAGGAAGATGATATTGCGAAGGCTTTCCATTATGATGTTATGCTTTTACGTGTAAGAATGGTTGAGGTACAGGCTACCGCGAATGCAGCAGGTGACTTCTCCTTCAATCTATCTCTTTTTCGTATTGGATTGTTTGATCTTGGTGACAACGGTCGTCTTATCAGACAGAGATATTATCATTCTCTACCAAACAATGATAGATTTGGTGGGAAGCGAAAAAAAAAGGCGCTCCGCCAACCCTGTCCTTTCATTGTTCTTACAGAAGGATATTTGTCCGCGGACGACAGTGATGCAGTTGTCATTGGAGAGTCAGATATCGATGGCCCAGAGTTTGTCATAACTGTTGACAGATGTTCTGCATCTACTACAAACGGGTTTCAGCCGCTCTCTGACACGGGACTTCCACCGGATACAAAAGTGACTTCAGCTAAGGTAGTGATGAACTATCTGAGTTTCAATGCCATCGCTCGACCCTTTCGTGAGATTGCTGACTTTCTTTCGTGCAAGTGGTCAACATCCTTAGAGTCCTCGACACTCTGTAAAGAGGATAATGATATTGAAACGCCAATCGCTGAAAAGAAAATAGTAACACATGACGGCATTGCTCATGATTCATTTCAAGGTTTTCAGCTAAAAGTTGTAGCTCATTATCCAAGAGTATTCTTTTTAGCAGATGAAAGTGATTTGCACTCACGGGCTCTGGTACTTAAAGGGTAAGTCTGAATTTTGTGTGAAGTATATTCGACTTTTGAGATGCCAAGGTCAATCTGACGTATTATCTCTGTGCAGGCTTGCTGTCGTAAACATTAGCAACGTGAACAAGAAAGAAGTATATGGTGGAAAAAATGCAGACTCAGTCGACGTGCAGCGAATTACTATGGTCGGTGCGCAGCTGCATGGATTGGAAACATACATCAACCCTGATGTGAGCGCTACACTACGCTTTAGTGAAAGGCACTCTGAAATGTTTGAGGCTAGAGACTCTCCTAGTTTCAAACCTGCTTCCGATGAGAGGTCGATAGATGATCCAGATACTTTAGGTGTGGCTTTGATTCAGCCTGTTACAATCGGAATTGAATACACGCAAATGGAAAGAGGCTTATTTCCTACGAGAAGATCATTGCAAGTCAACATTGATCCTGTTTCCACAATGTTGAGTTTTGAAGATTTAGAGCTTGTGGAAGTTGTTCTTAAACGATGGTCTTCAGATCGAACCAAGAATCCTAGCGATGGGACGAATCCTCCAGAGCTTCTCCACAAACCTAATGTGACGGATAAAGAATCCGTAGCACAAGAAAAAATCAATTTTGAAGTCTCATTCAATACAACACGACTAGGTCTGGGCCTAAGAACTGAGGACAGTCGTGTGGTTGTAAGCAGCATTCAGAAATCCGAGTATGCACGCCAGATTAACGATGGAGACACGCTGATTTCTGTGGGTAGCGAAAATGTTCGGAGTAAGACACTGGAACAGATTGTAAGTGTATTAGTAGGATCAGAGAGACCAGTCGTAGTGGGCTTCGAGAGAATCAGAAAGCGAGAAGAATCCGAGAAGGTCCTTGAAGGCACCCCATTTGACGATGAAAAGCCAGCAAGCTCATACATAGACGAAGACTCAGAGAATGAATATTTTATTAGTTGCTACAGTCTGCATTTTCGACGTGGAATGCAACTTGGGCTTTTCTTCGAGAGAAGTATGTGTGGGCAATTTCCGGTTGTATCGAAAATGGTGTCCACAATCGACGACACTGTTGTTTTGTCGGGTAGCGCAGATGAGATCGATTCCGAGCAGATTGAAGTTGTTGATTCAATTTTTAAATCAGAGAACAAACGACTACCAAGGATTGGTGCTGTGATTGTAGCTGTTGATGACATTCCTGTTGAGGAAATTGGAGCCGAAGAAACCTGGAATATTTTGGCAAAGGTTCAGGAAATAGACTCAACAGTAGAATTTATGGGGACTGCCATTGGAAGCAATTCAACGTTTTCTTTGACCTTTCAAGAAACACCCGCATCTACATGGGGTAATATCGATTCGATTGAAGTATCATCTGCTGGGATGGCGCTTTCTTTTATTGACGACCTCAATGGGAGAGACATGCCCATTTTTCGCGGAAAACTTGATTCCGTTCAAGTTCACATTGATCGTGGTTTGGGGATCAATGCTCACATTCTTGACAATACGATTCCTTCGCTGCTCACGCCTCTTTATTCGGTTTCTGACGAACAGAATCCCGAAATGACTCTGTCGGAGGATCAAGTGCGAGACATTCAGACAGAATCTATAATCTCGTTCAGCGCAATAAGCATTTGCTCTTTGGATTATTTTCGCTCTCGTGTTTCTTGCTGGGAGCCACTATTAGAGCCTTCTCAGCTATTCTTCCATTTCGAAAAACAAGATGGCAGCGTTCAAGCAAATAGACCGGCTCAAGTAGCTTTGGAGGTGTCAGATCGTCTTCTTCACAACCAATTTACGAGACCAAGCTTCACGCAAAACAATCATTTTGGTGAAGCACACATGGTATCAGTCAATGTGACTGACGCTGCTGCCGAAGTTCTGGTAGAAGCATCAACCAGGTGGAAAGATTGGAGAAAGAGCCTTCTTTTGGAACCTGGAGAAGATGATTTTGATTATGCGGACAACTTGATTCTGGACGAGCGATATAATCATTCCAAAAACGATGGTTCGAATATGCATGAGGTTGATGGAGAGCAGCAAATTGAGGAAGAAGTGATCGAAGATAAACAACGTCAGTTGGCTAAAAGAGCTGCTGCCAAAAAAGCCGCGCAGGGTGCACTTAATTTCGCACAAAAGCGGGGAGCTGAAACTAGCAAAAAGAGTGATTCAGCAAAACCGTTCATCTTCAGAAATCGTACTGGTATTTCTATTGCGTTCGTTCAGCAGGGTCGTGGTATGCGAAGTCGTGGCTACTCTTGGAGAGGAATGCGACAAGATGGTCAAAATTCAACTATTGGAGAATACGATGGTCTCGAAGAGTATGAACAGGAATTCATTACCGAATTAGCAGATCAGGAAGATGCTAAGTTTAACATGGAACTCATTGAGGAAGACTTCAGAAATGATGGTGGTGCGAAGAATGCCAACAACAAGATTAGAAGCTACGAAGGGCGTTATCCTGATTTAATGGTAGCCATTCAGGCAGTAGCTGGCGTTTTGGTAGAACCAATAACCAATCTCCAGGTATTCAAAGTCGGTAGCACTATTCGAATTTTAACTGTCAAGAAAGATAGCGGTTCATACCCAGGATCAGATTCCACACGCAATGATATCCAGGTTGTTTGGAATGTGGAAATTCAAGAGAATCGGCGTATCCTCACTCTTAGCACAGCAGTACGTGTTGTTTCGGCTGGGCTTAATATGCCAATTGAGATCGGATTTCGGCGCGATTTAAATGAACATGATAGGGATCAATCATTGGAAAGCTCGACAACCTCCATTGGCATTGCTCGGCCGAATTGCCCGTTCTACATGCCTTTATGGTTAGCACTGAAGCTAGAACCTATTAGTATTTACGTGCGACCAATACCTACAAATGCTGTGGAATACTCATGGAGTGAATCAAGCGTTCTGCATTTTGGTTCATTTGTGGAGGAGCGCATAATGATAAGTGGTCGTGGACTAAATACCTCAGCGACAGGAAAGTGGACATGGGAAGAAACTTTCTCTCACCTGGGATGCATCTGTTGTGATTCTGGAGCGGATGGATCAAACCCCATGTGGTTTTCAGTTTTCGGATCGTCGTTGGCAAAGCGCTCCGAAAATGCTTTTGACAAACACCAAAGAGAGATATTAAAGGAGGAGCTCGGGAAACAGAAAAGCGAGTTTGAAGCTTATGAAGTTCTATCGGTTACATTGGATTCTGGGCTAACAATACGAAACATGTTGCCTTGTATGATGGGTTTAGAAGTGATCCAGAGAATAGAACCACTGAGTGATTCGGAACCGTTCGATAACATACGAAGCCATTTCTCATTTAATGAAGTTGAACCAGATGTATCCAAATTCGACACTTTGAAAGGTGGCGAGTGCACAGAAATTTTTGAAGTTAATTATACTGCGACAGTTCCAAAAATACGAATAAAGCAGCAAAATTACAATGGTTGGTCAACTTGGGCGTCTCTACGACTAAACAAAGCATGCATTCTCAACCAAGACGATGATGTCGTTCCTAGAAGTGAGAAAACAGCTTCTGAATTGACGGCTCCGTCTCAAGTCAATGTTCAAATTCCTGACTGCTCTTTTGGAATTCCCACAACCTTTGGAATAAGGGTGGAGCCAAAAATGACGATAGCCGATCCACAGGTTGGTCATGTTTATGGTCTAGAAGTCATAATATATGCTGAATTATGGATCAGAAATATCACCTCGTTACCTCTGAGCTTTGGGTGTCCCTCATATCAAATACACGAGCCGGAACAAGCTTTTGGTAAAAGCAACAATTCATCTGATGATTCTGAGGCAAAATTTACGGCTGAATCAGCTTTGATGGAGCTTACGAGTCTTTTTGAGGTTGGCGACAAAGGGACGGTGTTGAAACAGACAGGAGGAAAGCAGTTTTTAGAGCGAAATAATGTAATAGAGAGGTTGCCGGGACAAGAGTGTCGTAAATTGACGGAAGAGGTGTTTGAATACGTGGAAATCGAGAATTCGACGGTGAAGAGAAAATGGTGGGCATCAGAAAGTCACTATGGTTACCATAAACAAATTTTTGATGTCGATGACACTGGTGCAAACTGGAAATGGCTGGACGAGAAATGGGTAAGAAAAAAAAATGACCAATTTGTCCTTCTTTTCTTCAGAATTAACCTAACACAAGCTTTTGTTAGTCCATTGACTGTTCTGGCGGAGCCAAACCTAACGTAGGAGGGTGGGAAAGCTGCAAGGGTCTTTACACCGGAAATGGATCATTTGGTGGTAAACGTGAATTCAATCCGTCAGATGGATTCCGTCGCAGGCGTTTCTTTCGGGAAAGGAGCGGCTGTTTTGAACTTAGTACGACATCGTCACCAATGGATTTGGAATCGCGAAATATACAAAGGTACCTAGGAGGGATACAGGCATTTCATCAACCTCTGAACGACTCCTTTTCTCGAGAGCAAAGACGGATGAAACAGCAAAATAATGTGGATGATGGGAAATTCGTCAGCCAAAGTGTTCTGAATGATGACAAGCTGAAGATTGCCATCAGATGTGGTGACGGAGCATGGAGTGCCGCTGCTGAAATATCTAATTCTGGAACTTGCTATGGAGTTACCCGCGTTCTCGCTTCTAGGTGGCCTACACTGACTCAGAGGCACGGGGATATTTCACAACCTATCCTTCTGCCAAAACTCTTTGTGAAACGAAATTCTTATTCGATGCTTAATCCAACCGAAATGTGCGACTTTAAGACTGGGTGCCTGGCACCAGATCTCTACGAGTTCTGCTATACTGTCTCGGACGTGGATGGTGAATGGGGTGAATTTTCAAGGTCCATGGAAGTATCTCCCCGTTTTCTTATCAGAAACGATTCTAATACTGTTAGCATGAAAGTGAAGCAAACCGGGGCTCCTAACTCCACTTGCATGATATTGAAACCCGGAGAAGCCAAACCTTTCTATTGGGCCGATTTTCGTCTTCCCAAACTGGTCAGTACAATTCCTTTCGACATTTCTGGTTCAGAAAATGAAAATTTTAGATGGAGTGGTGGGTTTGACCTTTGTAACCTCGGAATGACCCCTGTGCGAATCCGGACTGACAAAATAGGAACTAACACCCAAAATAATAGCACAGTGGTCACTTCTGTTCGAGTCCTTGTGGAAGTTCGTCCAGGAACTGGTGGTCATGGAATTAATGTTTCTTTGAGAGAAGAAGAACCGAATGGGGATGGGTCGCTGTTCAGAATTGAAAATCTTTCCCCATTCCCAATTTGGTTGTCACAAGATGGAGTCTTGGCAAATCCGAGCTCTTCGTTACGTAGTGCTGGCAACAACACTTCGATTTCTGATGGTGATCATTTGCCACCAAATTCCAAGGCAGCGTTTGCTCTTGATGTACCTTACAGGCAAGGTAAATACGCGCATAGAAAAGAGGCTTCGTTGTCTGAGCTCATGCATGTTCGTGTTGCATTGGCACCTCTCTCTAGTAGGGCGGGGATAGAGTCTGTGAAGGTTATTGGTCTCGCAACAATGGGTGAGTCTATTCGATTGAATCCAATGAAACTTTCATCAAAATTGACTTCGAAAGATAGAGAAATCATTCAAAACATTCGAGTTCTTGGTGTGGTGGCTACAGATGGGCCCACTCGCGTTCTTCGATTCTGGTAAGTTGTTCTGCTGATTCATGATGCATTTCCATCTTATTCACACTACTGTTCTAACAGAATGGCTCCTTCCTCTTACAAGCCTCATGGTGCATTCAAAGAGTGACTTAGCATTTCATAATGCTATACCTGATATATCTTATGTCACTTCGACTCAGCTTCCTCAGATTGAGGATGTTCGAAGAACAAATCGAAGAGATTACACCAACGAAGTAATAAAGGGACTGAACGAAGCTACCAGAATGGCATCGATGGGAAAAATTCCCCTGGAGATAGAAGCGAAGAGGGAGGCACTCTTTTTAGATCTCAAGTCGAACAAAAATGGTGACGGAGATTACAATGATGGCGGGGCGTCGGACAAAATTTTCTCTTTCCGTATTGAGTTTAGTGGTTTTATTTTTAGTTTTGTCGACTCAGCTCCTTCAGAGATAGCTGTGACTTCTCTCAGAAATATGAACGCGCTGGCGAGATGGAATAGTTTGAGGTCAACGGACGCTACAGTGTTACTTTCTATTGGCTGGCTTCAGATTGACAACCACGTCCCGAGTGCTCCATTTAAAGTCGCTGTCCGACCCGACACGTCCAAACAGCAAGGTGAAGAAGGGAAATCCAACTCTTCCCCTCTTCTGGTGGTTGCGATAGCTTTTGCGCCAAAACACAAAACGAAAATTTTAGTTTTGCGCTCGGTAACTGTCGCGCCGCGAGATATTGTGATTGCACTTGATTTAGCTTTTCTCGTCCGCTTGCAACGATTCTTTATGGGGCTTCAGGATCATTTGCGCAATCGACAACACGACGCTCAGCTGGGACTACAACCTGATGGGTTGGTGACAGAACAAAAGAAAAAAATTGCTTTCCCGAATTTTGCGAGCCCGAAGAAACAGCTTGAGCAAATTGCTGCTTTCAACGAAAACAGAAAAATTTATTTTCAGGGATTGACAATTCTACCAACGAACATCAAGCTCTCAGTGGCGTCGGCTAAAGCCCTTACTTCCGATCAGGCTAGTTTGGAGGGTAAAGAGACAGCGGCTATTCACACAGCGGTTCGTAAAGGTGATGTTCTCGTTGGCAGCAAAAGTTCTGGACCCCTAGGTGTTCGTGTGGGAAAAAAGAATAGAACTGCCTTAGCTGTTGTACGTGGCGTTTTCAAATCGATTGTTGTTGATGCACTTTTGCGGCTGAACGGTGCTTCGCTTAATTTTCACGGCGTATTTTTGAGAAACCACATCGCCACGAGCACCCAACTCTCGACGTATCTAGCAGCACATTACCTGTCATCGCTGAAGCACAATGTACCAGCACTGTTAGGGTCGCTTTCTGCCATTGGAAATCCGTTAKGGTTGATTCGTGGAATCGGGGATGGAGTTAATGACTTTGTGACTGAACCGATGAAAGGATTTAAGCGAGCTTTGAAAGAATTAGATCCTGGATACGCTGTGGATGGCGTAGCAAGAGGGACGGAGTCATTGGCTCGTCATACGGTTGGTGGAATAGCGGACTCGGCATCTCTTTTGATGGAAACATTTTCGAAGTACATGGCTGTGGTGACTTTAGATAGAAGATATGCGCAAAAACGCGACCGACGCAAGTCATTGCGAATGAAGAGTGATGCAAAAGTAACCTTGGTGGGTGGGGTGGAAAGTGGGTTTCTCAAACTTGTCACAGGCTTTCGGGAAGGTGTGACCGGGGTTGTTCGGGCACCGATAAGGGGAGCCGAAAAACGTGGTCTTGAGGGATTCGCGAAGGGTCTTGGGAAGGGATTACTCGGCTTACTCGTCAAACCCATTATCGGAATTACTGATGCAGCAACAGACGTCATGATTGGGGTGAAAAGTACTGTCGAGTATAAGGAAGTTCAAAAGGAAAACCTTGCTTTGTTGCGCAACCAGTTTCGACCCCGTCGACCAATGTATGGACGGGATAAGGTGCTACGCCCTTTTTGCATGGAAGATGCAGCTGCCGCTACACTCATGCTGAAGACACGATGTGCGGGCGAAAATTACTTGAGTCATCTGGATATGAATGATCGGGTTGCGTTGCTGAGCGTAAAAAGATTGATAATATTGGGACCAAGGGGAGAAGAACAACTAGCTTTGAAGTATGACCACGTAGACAGCTTGGAGGTTCGTTCAATCAGACAGGCGGATGGTTTGTCTTATGGTTGGGGCATTATCGTCATTTTGAATACCCCGAGACGAAATGGCAGCGATGTGGAAGTGATTACATGCCGATCCGAACAGGAAGCAACTGACCTATGCATGATGATTCAACAAGGAGTCGATTTGGTAGCTCTAGATTCTATCCAACAAATTTAACTACAAGTTGTTGCGCTTGCAGAAATAACAGTTATATCAAATTTCTTCTATTGAAACATTTTTTTAGTACTAACAAGATCCTCATCCGTAGATGCAACTGTAATCACGCCGTTTCGAGGAGCGCAACTAATTGCGTTGCTCGCTCTTATAAGCTCTACGAATCGTTCCGTCACCGAAGGATGACGAGCCATTTTTTCTACGCCGCGGCTTATGAGCCAGTCTTCGACTGATAACATACCAGGATAGACTTGCCGACACTCATGTAGAAAATCTTCTTTATCAGCCCTGCTCTTACGACTTGAAGAGATTGCATGATTGTAACAACTATTAGGTAAGCTGATCCCTTCATCGTTTCCTCCATATGCTAGCCACTGTTTTAGTTCTTCCAGGTAATTTGCCAAGTAAGAAAGATTCCACACCGACCAAGGAATTGGACGATACACGAACTTCAAGCGTTTGTCTTCGCAAACTTGATTTGCCATTCGAGCCATATGTTTTCCGGTGACTCGCTCACTCCCAGCAACCAATACGCCCCCGTTTCCGTATTTGAGGGCCTGTTCATCTTCAAACATTCTGCACGCAAGAGCGCTAAAATCTTCACGAGCAATGACTGTTAACGATATGTCATCGCCGAGCAATCCCCGCACTATACCTGGACTCAAAGATTTCAATTTATGGTTGCTTGCAGCATGGTCAACACTTTCCAAATATGTTGGTTGCCTCAAGATTGACCACAAGGGACTAGTGTCGTCCCCGTTCGTTTTCTTGGTCATCCGTGTGAGCAATGCATCTTCCTGCCGCCATTTGGCCTTGTGGTGGAAAGGGGCTTCTACTCGTGGGTCTGGATAATCGGATTTACGCCTTCGTCCTCCTCTGTGCATTGATTGTAAGACGAAATGTTTTACTAATGGATATTGCTTGCATGGATGGTCATATGCTCGACCAGTGCCCATTGCTGCGTCTATAATGTTAATTCCCTGTCGCGTTTCGATGTTCTCGAGTTCTTCGGCACCTAAACTAATATCGTCCCTTGACCATGTAGTTAGTCCATAGACTCCATGGGCGCCCTGAAAGGCTCGGCGCAGGCTCTCGACGTCATCATTGTCGGCAACAAACAACTCAGCACCCATCTCTTCCAAGATCCGGTGGTTGGAAGAGTCAGAATTCGGGACCAATGCTCTCACACGGAATTTTCCTCGTTTCAGGACTTGCCTACAAAACCCCACCCCTTCCGCGGATGATGCAGTTGTGCATACGAGAAGCGGCTTGTCTTCGCCCTTGGTATTGTATAAGTCCAGGGGAGTTTCCAAATCCTCGATCGTAGACATCCACAAAGCAGCGGAAGCACTAGTTCTTCGATTGTTTGCTTCCGACAAGAGAGAAACTGAAAACGAGTCAACAACTACGATGTCCCGCCAAAGCAACCACACGAGCAGTAGGATTGCGATGGATAACAACCGAATCGTTCTTCTTATCGACAACAGTTTCGGTGACAGCAGCATCTCTAGATGGATTGACAAGAATTCTATCGTTGTACGGTGCGGAGGATCGAAATGTACACGAGAGTTCTCAAAAGAATAAAACAGATTGTGTGACTGATGATCTCTTCGAAGTGCTGGGAAGCTCTAGCAGTATGGTACGATGCTCCTTCCTACTTCTAATGGATACCAACAGACGATAGAGATTCTTCTCATCCCTATCGCAGGAACGATTCTTTCTGCATTGAAAAAAACCTGAAAGAATGAATGAGTCACATCGTGTCATAATCATGATCATCGTACTTAAAGCACACGTCAGACCAACCGTATGATGATTGTCATTGAATCGAACGAATCAAAAACTCATATGGAGAAGAATCATTACAGTACGTATAGGTACGTACTAGTAGTAGATACTAAGACGCTGATGGGTACCAATGGGTTCTCCAAAATAATTTCTTTCTCACCCAACGATACAGTAAACAAGTGAAACCAACCCAACACGAAAAGCGAGAGTGTCCACAACAGCATTATTAAAGTCAATGAAACGAAGGTGATCAAAATTTCAGGAGTAACGAAAGCACCAATTCGGAGATACAATAGAAATAAAATAATGGTGCGTTTGTTTTATCGATCTGGATTTTGAACTCGCGAGCAGGTGCAAAAGAATCGGGATGACCTCCGCGATCATGAATAGCGCAGCACGTCGGCAAACATCCAATCATCGACTGTAGACATGCCCGATGCCTTCTTCGCGATGGTCTCATCATCGTTTTAGAAAGATGCTGACTATATGAGACTAAGAATACGGCATTCAGGATTGAAGAATACAGCGAATGAGCTGCATGTGAATACTTGGGAATCAAATATCAACGAGAAATTACTCATAAAACCCAATTTTTTTGCCCTCCTATCTTCGATGTCACTAATGGTTTTTTTCTTTTGTATTCATTATCGTCTTTCCATGCTGGGTGTATATTTGAAATCACTCCGCATATTTTTATGTGGCTTGTTCGTGTCTGGATTATCGATTGGTTTGCACCACGCGGTGTGTGGTTGTTAATCCACACATAGTTGCCATTATCGATGCTAAATGTGGCGGCCGAAACGTCAACGCCGTTGCTTGTTGAACTTAAAGGGGGTGACACCTACAATGGGCGCTTAGTGAGTTGTGATTCATGGATGAACATGAATCTTACCGACGTCGTTTGCACTTCCAAACACGGCGACAAGTTTTGGAAAATGCCCTCGTGTTACATACGTGGTTCTGCCATCAAATACTTGCGATTGCCACCGGATTTGTTGGATTCTACGAAACAAAAAGTCCAGGAAGACGAACGGCGAAATAAAATAATGAGGGAACAGAATAACGGAGGCCGAGGCGGAAGAGGAGGGCGTGGGCGCGGTGGAAGAGGACGGGGAGGAAGGGGGCGAGGCCGTGGTGGAAGAGGCGGAGGAAGAGGACGCGGAAATAACAACAATTACGGCGGAGGGAGAGGCTACAACAACAACTACCAGAAATAAAGGTACCTAATCAACGGGTACACAATATACTTAAATTTAATGATTATAACAGATGGCATAAACTCAACCTGTCAAGGAAAATCTCACGATTGCATTTATGCTAATATCATGCTTCACGGATGTTACACAACCTGATCAGCAAATACCTCTATATCTCGTTCGATATGTTTCGCGTTACCATGTGCAAGATGCATTCCAGTATTTCCTCTACACATTGTTCCCGATCTCCCGGTGCTCGTTGGATGAACAGCAGGATATCAAAGGACTTCATGATACTAATGACCCTGAGGAGTAGATCCTATCATTAGCAATTATATGAGCATTGCTGATCTATTCGTGCTCAGTTCGGTGAAAAGCGAGACGTGAAGGACGTACTGGAAACAACCAACTAGGACATAAATTATCAGTGTTGGACATCCTTAATTGAACTGATGCAAATTCACCTTATCAAAAATTCTGCCTATGGATTTCTCTGCAAGTTGTAGAACACGGCTATTCTTGACGATTTTTTAGCACGCCATAAAGTAATGCTACTTTTAATATGCATATTTATGTTACTTGAATGTTTGGATGAGTACATTTTTGAAAGGTGTGTTGAATGTTGTTGTGCAATAATGTTTTTGGGAGTAATAAAGTAGTACTATGAACTACTCCCGTGCGATATGCGATAAAACACAAGAAAAACCACCTGTCGTAGTCCTCTGATGTTTTACGACGGAAATTTGTATAACGGAACGAATTCAGAAAAAAGGCCAATGACGGCGCCCCAAGAAAACTGGTGCATTCTCTGAATCCCTTTTGTCCCGCACGCTTAATACTCGTCATGTTGTCGTGCTCTGCTGCTGCTGCGCTTCCTGGAGCGCGATCGGCTGCTACGACGAGGTGGGTTATCGTAGTCGTTCCTCGAGCTGGGTTTTCTCGAGCTAGACTTTCTTCGAGAACTGCTCTTGGAACGAGCCTTGCGGGATTTGTCATCCTTGCTGGATCGGAAGAGACCGTCTTCATCCTTGCGACGAGACGAAGTACGACGGGAACTGGAACGACGGGATCTGCCATTAGTACCTCTATCATCATCCAACAACCGTCGACTTTTGGAACTTCTTGACTCACGGTATCGAGAACGACGCGCGACAGCGAATGCCAGGAATGTTGCAACGAAAACGATGAAACTGAAGGTAACAAAGACGTTTGCCAACATGCGAGTAAGTTTTGACTCTTTTGCCATCGTACCGCCCGATGCCGATTCGACCTCGACCGAGCTGTAGAATGATTCAAGTGGCTCTCCATACATCTTGTTTCCAACTGTGATACTAAGGATGGTTCCCTGAGCATGTCCCAAAGCGATACAATCAGCTTCGCAGGTGAAAGAGTCGTGGGAATAAAACTTCCAACATTGATTGATCAGATCATCGTCGTCCATACCATCGTCACCGATTACATATCCATCTTGGTACGTAGGATAGTCAATGCAGCTTGTACAGTACATGTATTGCTCATAAACTTCGTTGAGTTGCGTTAAGGTGTATTCTTGGGTGTCATACCACCAGTCATACGCCCAACTGTACGAGTCGTCATCAGTAGCATCTTTACTTCCTAGATCAATGTCTTGCTGATTACCGAAATCGTCGTAAGTCATTCCGCTCGATTCATCTAGAATAAGACACTGAGCATCGGTGTAAAGTCCCATTTGATATCCACCGAGAGGTTGTGGAGCAACACCGGCGTAGAGAACGTTTCCACTGCTGTCATTTCCGACGTAAAAACAATCGTAATCGGTCATGTAGGCCAAACCCGCTAGTGCTACAACGTATTCGTACTCGTCGATTGCCCACAAGTGCTTGGAGATTTGTTCTATGAACTGATAAAATTCTTGTCGGTAAACTCCCAACAAGACCCATTCTGTGTCGGGTTTGTGGCAATCTAGTACCCCGACTGGCTCATCACCAAAATATTCATCATACCCATATCCTTGATAGTTTGGATCAACGTACTGCGCACAAGAGGGGTAGTAAGGTAGTAGAAGGACGAACGTCAGAGGTCATTTCAATTTCAACGCTTTGAGTATGACTGTAGGTTACAATCTGGTTTGTCTGTGATCGTTCTAGCCTCTGTATTGTCCAGGATATTCAGTTATCGATCTGCACTTACCGAGGCCCACATCATCCATCGGGAGCAGGCTTGATCGTCACCATCTCCACTTCCTCCTCCGCCGTCACCACTGCCTTCGCTTTTTTGGTGATCGCAATCGATAAATCCACCGAGCATTCGGTATGCTTGTTGCCACATATCATAATCATCACCTGGATTGGCGTATTCAACCATGTTGCCACTGCTCGTCCCAGAACCACCCCAAAGTTTCCGAAATTCGTTTGGGTGATCTTGCGAGATTTTGTTAATTTCTTCCGGAGACAGCTTTTCCAAATTGGATGTCTCGGGGCGGACCTTCTTCATTGCATTCGCAACTTTGGCCCGGCGTTGTCGGTTTCGTTCCCGGCGAGCCAATCGTTCCACTTCCCGTTCTTCCGGGGTTGGTGCGTTTGGATCTGGACCATGTGGTATCTGGAAATTCTTATCAGTTTTTGTCGCGTCGTTTTCCGATTCGCTCTGAGCCCTCGCTAATGGTTTGAACATATTTTCAATTGGATTGAATTTGCTCCTGGATCCAGGTGCAGCTCCGGCACTCTCGGAGCCGACCATGTTCGCCAGAAGCAGGGACCCAAAGATCAAAATGTTTTTCATCGTTCGAACACTTCTAGATAAAATGATAGGAATGTCGGCAATGATAAAATGTGCACTTAGTATTGCACTGTCGTTTCCGAGTCGAAAGCAATGCCGTCGAATCCTTTCTTTTGTCAGTATTGGAACACACCAATAGTTCACTCCTCGGGTTGGCAAGTTAGGTACGATATGGTAAACGAGGAACAGAATAAGAGGATGCAATGTATTTGCAGTTTGCAGTGCTGTTTGTTTAGATTTGATAGTACTCGTACTTACGGTACATGGTGTGTTCGTCATTCCTTTGCCCTAGGTATGTAATTATACTGGCGAAGCAAGCATGGCAGAAAAGGCAGGTAAGTAGATTTTAACGTTCGTTCTACTATGTTCCGATAAGGAATGCGCTGCTTGAACGGAATGGCACGAGAAATAGACTTTTGATCTTACTGGATTTTAGTTTTTAAAGAATGAATCGTACTGGCCACCGAGCCAGCACTCCACATGCCGAAGGCAACCTATCAAGCAAAAGACGCACTACTCAATTTTGATAGGACTAGCGACCAAACGAGCGTCGGCCCACCTAAACGGCTCGTTTTTAAAAAATGCTGATAATACTTACCGAACGACAAACAAGGCGTTCTAAATTTCTAACAAAAAAAGTAATGACCCATGACAAAATAGTACAGGTCATATATCGCGTGACAGGCATTTTGCAGTACTATTTCTACACAGGCCTTCGCAAAGAACAGAGCAATATAACACACCCTCACCTTCAACCTGTCTCACTTTCAAAAAACGAACTATTTCAGTCGAAGGATTTTCTATTTCAGAGTGTTTCCAACAAGCTCTTTTTTTGCCTCACTTTTTGAGACTTCAAGAAGTCGGCAAAACAAAATCGATATCTGGACACTCCTGCTATTGACATCATCATGAAATAAAAATTGAAATTGTTTCCAAGAAAAGATTTCTGGAGGGCTCTCTAAGGTGCTAACTACTGGGCCTCTCTTATTAGAGTTCTTCAACTACTACCTCCTTCACAGCCTCCAGAACTGAAACAGGAAGATTTTTTGCAGCTCATCTTTCCTCCTCAGTCATCCCTGCAAGGCAGGTTAGAGCCTCATCTTGTTGTCTATCTCTCTCCCTTCCTAATGCAGTCTCCCTGATTGTGATATCTTCTTCCTTCACCTTGTGAATTTGAGCTTCATCAGAGTCCCTCCAGAAAGGCTCTGCAGGAGGGACATTTCTGACTTGCATCCACATACCAAACAATACACTGTCTTTCTTTGCAGGGATTTCTTCTGCTACTATTTCCACTGGCACAACAGTTTTGAGTGTTGAAATTGCTGAAAGTGACTTGGCATTTTCCTCCTTGTACACATCTTTCCCCTTTGATAGCAATTCCTCAATCACTC